TTCTGCTAAAATACTCATAAATACTTGATGTGACTTTAAAAAAAAACTTCAACATGTTTTCTAACCACCGACTTATAATTTACATACAGTAGTTTCTGTGTCTGAACCACTAGTCACAATTCTGTGCTTTAAAACTCTCCCCTAGGGCTAAAATAGGCTTTGTTACCAGCCACGGATGGGAACAAGGGCCTGCACTACTCTACACTGTGATCAGGTGTAATTTTTTTGGCAATACAAGAAGGGAGGGTATGATGGCAGGTTAGACCTCCTCCTCCACTCCCAGCAAAGAATGAGATATTTGAAAGAGCAGCAGAAACCGAGCCTAGGGCTGCTATTAACACCCTTCCTTTGTAATCTCAAAGTGATGGACCTACTTTCTCGCTTGCTGTAGCATTGTCTCTTTTCTTGTTGACAGGACAGATTGCCTGACAGCAGGTTGCAAAGAAAACTCCACTGATGATGATGAAGGACCAGGGAGATATCTGTCTCCCGCTGCAGTTGCTTTTCCAGGTGAAGGGCGTTCTTCTCGCTCCTCCAATGGAGCAGCTTCCTCTTGTTGCGGTTCCCACATCTCCAGCTCATCTTCAAATATCTCTTCCGTAATGGAAGGACTTCCTTGTTCTTCCTCAGTTGATAGGTTCTCAATCTCATCATATGCACTTGATGCAGTCATTGAATCTGAAAAGAAGTTATTATGATGTCAAGTTGAATTCAGGCCAATGAAGTTTAGCAAAATCTTACCAGAAACCTCTCAGGAAGAGAAGAGAGAGAGAGGCAAATGACACTCTCCTTTCTTTCTCCTGTATCCATGATACAGTACACAAGATTGCAATGTTGCTAAGATCCCCTCTAAACATCACCCAAGCCCCTATCTCCCTGATTTTGCTTCATACCGAGTTGAGATAAATTATGTGCCTTTCTTTGCATTCTGCTGGGTTCAGAAAAACAAACTCCTCTTGGACACTTACTTGGCTGTGCTATCTGTAGGAGTTCAGAATCCTCAGGAATTAACTGATCTTCAGGAGGCGTCCACACCTACATTGTAAACAGAGAAAACAATGGGGGTTCTTCAACATTCAAGGAAAACATATGATTATTTTAATCAACGTTTCAACCTTTTTTTTGCAAAATCCACTCTCTGTGCCAGTCATGATTCTGACAATCAAAATGACTTACCATTATAGCTTAAACCTTGCATTAAAGGTTAGCACAACCTCACTAGTGCATACTAGTACTAGTTACACCCACTTTCAGTGTTACACGCATAGGCGGCATCTTTCGACATGTCATCTTTGACATGCTATGTAACCTGGCCTACATCAAAAATGTAAGCACAATGAACTTCTTTACAGTCAAACTCAAATTTTAGTGATGAAAAGATGGATTTATTTGACATCAGACTAACGTTACGAGTATCAAGAAGTCATTCCAGGAGAAATAAATCAACTGTTTTGAATGTTTACACATTGTTAATATTGAAAGCAGTAGTGGCCCAATTCTATCAGAAGTCACTATTGAGAGCTGTTCAACTACACTAAAATGGTTTGAATAATCCCGTAAGTTGGGAAACATACAAAGTCCACAATCTTCTTCAGCCATTTGAGGTCAGCACATGTACATGTAGTTACCATTTATTTGTCATTTCTTCCACTAATAGCCAGAAAAATTGCCAGTTTCACAGTAAAACAGTCTTTCAGCCATTTACATAGCGTTTCGAAAGATGGCATGTCCAAAGATGGTCGCAAGATGTTGCCTATGCACACAACACTGAAAGCGGGTGTAATAGAGGGGAATGCTGGTGAAGCCTAACAACATCTTCTGTTCTGTTTGACTTTCAACATGGACTGAACACGACAGCTGTTTACTTTTGACTGAGAAGTTAATCAATAGGAACACTTTGATTGCATAACTCCTGCATAATGTGGAAGCGCAAAGCAAAGGATTGTGCATGGGTTGTGGACTTTCAGACATATACCGTAAAATCCCATGTTAAAGCCCCCCACCCCGATTATAAGCTCCCCTGGATATAAGCCCCTCCATTTGCTAACAAAAATATTATTCTAGCTATCACCCCCCTCCCCCTGCCCCTTGGATATAAGCCGATCTAATGTATAAGTGCGTTCCTTTTGTGTTTCTTTACAAACATCAAAATTTTCAATTTAATCGAAAGTTATAGACTAATAGGGTAATAGTGTAGTAATAGGGTAATAGCTCAAAATGTAAATATGGTATGTTAGCTTTAATTCATTTCTCAGATACTTTTTATCTTGTCGTTCTGAAACATTTTTTTTATTCTGCTTATATGCCCCCACCCCAGTTTATAAGTCCACCCAAAACCCCTCATGAAGTTGTATAAACCTAGGGTTTTAATGCAGGATTTAACGGTATCTTGCCATTTTTGTTTCCACCTTTGAAGTTTAGCGTGCATCATATTTACTATTAACTTATTTCAAGTGACTTAACATGATCTGACTTTCATCCTCTCAAGAAAGACTTGAACACAGCGTCAGTAACCTAATCTCACACACATTGAGACCCTGTTCATCTGTTTCCTTTTTGAGTACTTACAGATGGTACAGCAATGTTTCCTTGTAGAATGTTATCAATGGTGACTTCCAGTGAATGAGTGTGTCTGAGATCATCCATGATGATGTCCAATGGCATGTGTGGAAACATGGCTTGTACTTGATGTGCCTACCAGTCAAAAATTACAGGAATGTACTCACAGGGAGAAACATGACTTTAAAAATGGAAAACAAGAAGTGACGTAATAACTCTAAAAAACTTCTTAAACTGGCACTTCCCTTCAATGGACACCCTCAGGACCAGAAAAAGTGTCTGCTTAAGAGAGGTATGGGAGGTTAAAAATGCTGCATTAGTATGAGGCTAATACCATCCGTGAG